CCGAGACCGACAGAATCTCAATAGAAGAACTAAAGGTAAAAATAGCAAACCTCGTGTCTGGAAATTGGCTGCTTTCCGGTAGTGTGAAAAATAGCGCAAATCGTAGTGTTCAGAAAGCCAGGCAAAATCAATTATCGCCCAATCAATCTCCTCTCATCCTTATCTAAACTATTTGAACGAGTCATCCATCATCGACTACAAGATAACTCTTCTTGTAGTAAGTTAAGCCTCCTCAGAATAATCCCAAACATCCAGTACGGATTTAGAGAGGCACACTTCACGGTTTACCAACTGGCAAGACTAGCGGAATATATCGAGGAAGGGTTCGAGGCTAAAAAGTTTACAGCTGTTGTTTCGCTGGATGTAGCAAGGGCCTTTCATACTGTCTGGATTGAAGGATTAAAATACAAGCTCAATCAAACGGGGTTAAGCAACTATTTACTTGCCATTCTGTTCTTCTTCCTGGAGGAGAGAACTTTCTCCATCAATGGATACTCCTCCAGCACAAGCAATACTTGCAGGCGTCCCACAAGATAGTAGTTTATCCCCTGCTCTGTTCAACATCTTTATGCATGATATCCCGACCGACGTAAACTTCAAAATGGCCATGTTTGCAATTGAGATAATTCAAAGGTCAGTGGACAAAATCCAGAAATCAAAATGGGGCATTTTGCTCAATGCCAGCAAATGCTCCTTACATAATTATAAACGATCAAGAAATACAGTGGAAAGCAACCGTTGAAGCCATTAAATACCTCGGAGTCCTTCTTAATCACCACCTTACTTGGAACTCCACATAAACTCAAAGGTCAACCAAGAATATGCCAGGCTTCGCCAATTGTATCCTCTGATCAGCAGAAAATCACCACTGCGAACTGAGTGCACTCTACTTCTTTACAAAGCTCTCATCAGGCCACTAGTATCTTACGCCTGCCCAGTTTGGAGCAATTCATCAACTTCAAACATGAGAAAAATTCAAATCCTACAAAATAAACTTCTACGGATCTTAGCGAACGCGCCGTGGTTTGTAAGAAACGAGGAGCTCCATGAAGACTTAAATGTCCAAACTATCAGCGAATTTATTAAAAAACTAACTAAAAAGTTTTTTAACAATATTAATAAGTGCTCTAGTGCGATTCAGCATCAAGTTGAAAATTTAATGCAATAACAACTGAGATTACACAAATTTGCAAGGTTTTGTTGTCGGTGAGCTGAGAGTCATTTCCAAAGTAATTTTCTGCGTAGAATCGTAATCCGAGTTCAGAATTTCATTACGTTGTGATTTTAAGATATCCGAGGTTGTGTACAAGAAAAATGACTTTTTTGGCTATTTTTGAAGTTACGTACGGGATGCAAAATATTTTTTTGCTTTATTGTATCTACTACACCATTCGGTACTATCCTTTCTCTTCAAAATGCGCTATTGAAATGTGCTGCACGATTTCTCCTTAATAAGTTATTATTTATTACCCTTGAAGTTGAACACTGAACCCGGTATGAGATAGGCGTAATTACTTAGCAACCAAACTGTAATCTGAATTGCTAGGTTCACGACTAAATGAGAGAAATCTCCGTGCTCCTGGTACTATGTTTTCTTGGTATGGACATCGAGAAAAATTTATTTATTCAGTTCTGTTCTGAAGGTGGTAGCTATGTTTATTATAACCAGTGTTGTTAAATACCCGGGTATTTATTTTCAAGGGTATATTTCCTGGATATATACTTGGGGGTATTTACCCAAGATGGGTATTTAGAGGTATTTATAAAATTTAATTTAAATTGAGTTGATGGCAGTTTGGCAAGCACTTCAAGAATACAGAGTCGATTATCGATATACCAAACTTATTTATAACATCTCCAAGAATACTACAATGACGGTAAAATTGCATGAAAGTACTGAAGAGAGTAAAAGTAGTAAAATACTGATTGTGAGTAAAACAAGGCGAGACACTGTTGAACCCAAATTGTTCATCAGTTTCATCACAGTCATCAGAGTGCATTTAAACAACTGGATTGTACCCAAAAAGACATAAACATTGATTGCAAATGTTTAAGTAATTTGCGCTACGGGGACGATATAGTTCTTATATCAGATAGCCTTAGAGAGATTAAACTAATTTTGAACGACTTAAAGGAGGTGTGTGCAAGAGTCGGGTTAAATATCAATGAGGAGAAATCAAAATTTATGATAAATCTTGTTTCCAACTCTAACATCAACAGAACAATAAGATTGAGAGGGTTGACAGTTATGTATATCTTGGCTATGAGGTTCGTTTATCGAGAGATAATGAAACAAGCGAACTAAACAGAAGGATCACATTCGTATGGACAGCCTACAGGAAACTTAGAGACATCTTCAAGAGAAAAGGCTTTCAATCAATGCGTGTTTCCGGTTATGACATAAGGCTCCGAAACTTTAACATTAACGGTAGCCACTGCCAGGAGGGTCCAAGGTAGCGCAAAGATAAATGGAGAGGTCGATCCTGGGTCTAACTCTGAGGGACTACATACGAAATGAAGACCTATGAAGAAGAAGTGATGTGGTCAACATTATGACAAAGCTTAAGTGGAACTGGGCGGGTCATGTCGCGCGAATGAAGAATGAGCAGTGGACAAAAAGGTTGCTTGAGTGGAGACCGCGAGCGAACAGACGAAGTAGACATCAAAAGAATTACCAACAATTGGATTCAGACAGCACAGAATACAATCGAATGGAATAGAATAGGGGAGATCTATGTCCAACATTGGACGCAGAGGGTGTTTGATGACAATAATCATAATAACTTGATCTAATCTAAATTACGACAGATTCGTCTAATGGTAATACGTCTTTGATTGTTGACAATTCCTCGTCTTCAACGTCCTCATCATCTTCCTCTTCATTTTTTTTTTGGAATAAAACTCGTGCAAAAACGTGGACTGTTATATGACCTTGTCAATTGAATGGTTTCTCTAAAAGAAGTTGATAAAACCAATTTTTCTGTATAACTCCAATCAATACATTTCCTTGCCTATTGCTCATTCTGTATACTTAAAAGAACCATATGACAATGTTAAAACTATTCTTGAAACTATTAAATATAAACACCAAAAATGGAATATATGTGGAGATTTGAAAATTACTGGCAAGCCTCTTGGACAACAGTGAGGTTTTACAAAATATCCATGTTGTGTATGGTTATGAGATAGCAGAGATAGGATACTATGTTAAAAAAAAATTGGCAAAGATGCATTGATTAATGTGAAAAAGTTTATATCAAATTAGGAATAATGGCGCAATTCGTAAAAGCGTTTAATAATAAAAATGGTGCTTGCTTTAAGTACCTTGTAAATAAATATTCCAACTTGAATGTTGCCAAAATAAAAGAAGAGATATTCATTGAGGCAAAAATGCGAGAATTGATGAAAACTATTAATTTTGAAAATGTTGTGATTTCGGATGACTGAAATGCTTGGACTAGCTTCAAAGAAAGTATCGATGGTTTCTTAGGCAATAATAAAGCTGCTAATTATAAGGTGCTAGTCGCCTGTGATGCAAAATTGTGACAGGTTGTGACATGAGCATGAAGTTGCACTATTTGCGCTCTCATTTACATTGGTTTCCTGACAATTTAAATGGAAATGGAAGGAAATGATCCACATCTATACTAGCGGATTATTGCTGGTCATTTCTGGCACAATATATAGAATAAAACATAAGCAAAAGACATGGCATAAAAGTTAAATTCAAAACAAAATTCAGACTGGCGTGTCTCCTGCATCTGACAGTACCGATCCATAAGCTGGGTTCCAATTCATTATGTCATTTTAAAATGGCTATAACTTAATAGAAAAGTTGTACAACACCATTTGAGAGGGTAAGGATAGTACTATATGATGAAATAGATAGAATACAGCAAAATAATGTTGTGCATCTCACATATAACTTCAAAAGTAGCCAAAAAAAGCCATTTTTTTGTACATAACCTCAACTATCTTAAAATACCGACGTGATGGGGCAATTCTGATTCTATGCAGAAAATTGCTTCAAAAATGATTGTCAGCCATCTAAGAACAATCAACATCCAGTTTTTTTGCAGATCTGTGCTATTTTTTCATCTAGAGGTGTACCCAGCTGACAATTTTTTATATCTTCTTCACAAAAACTTTTTTTCTATATAAATGTACTTTATATTAGTTTAAGTCATATTTTACATGTTCTTATTCAAAGAATCTGAAGATTTCTTTTTTATAACAATAATTCTTCTTTCCTTGATTTTTCCTCCAAGCAATATCCAAAGGAAAAAATCCAATTTGTACAACAATTGCTTTGTTATCAAAGTATAAACTAATTTTTATATGAATACAAACACAATATAAAATTCACATCACCTTACTAAGAATAATTTTTTGTGTAATAACCAACTTCTATATTAGACAGAATTCAATGCTAATTATTACTAGTAGATATTAATTTGATTGCATTATTACATTTGAATTAACATTCTCTAATAAAACAAGTTTTCACATTAATATGTTCACACTTGTCCTTTAAAAGAGACATTTCTGATTATGAAATGTTCTGTCCATTGAAATTAAAAACTAAAATTCTAATTGCTGTCTTTACTTGGTATAAAACCACTTATTTATTACATTCAAACATACCACTTTAAGTAATCATACTTTTAACCTGTTCAAATACAGGTTATTTAAATACTGAATTATCAGATTTATGAAAAATAAAAATTAATAACTCCTTTAAATGAGTACCGTTCTGAAAATAAAAAGAAATTAAAAATAATTACTAAAACCTAATTACTTACGTTTAAATAAATTGTTATCAATTTTAATAAACCATTTTAAAGATTACATAAAGATAGGTAAATATCACTCTTTCAATCCAAATAATTTACTTTCAAACATTTGTTTTTTAAATACCGTATTGCTAACCATGTTTGAATGAATAAATAAGCGTTTTAGCAAGTTTAATTTAACTTTAAAATTGGAAAATAAATCCTTACATTTACTAATCCAAAGTAGTGTTCGTTGGAAGGGAATTGTTCAGAACCAATATCTCGTTCCAATTGGGATATGTTCGCACCCTAAAATTTATAAAACTCTTAATAAAAAAATTAAACTTAATTGTGGTGTTGAGTAAATTGAACGAAGAGTGTATGTGTGGGGAGATTGGTGAGTGTTTGGTTAAAAAAAGTAATGAGAAAAAGCGTGGGATTTGTAGGCAATGTGATTTCGGTTTTTTTAAAGAATTCTTTTTTAACCAACTGACCATTATTTCCTGACTAATCCATCCCGTTTGTGTGGCGATAGTTTAAAATAAACACGTTTGTAATATAAATCGACTCCATTATCGCATTTTTGACAGCTGTTAAACAACCCGATAAAACATCAAACTGTCAGTGACGGGTAGAACTAAATTCCCCTAGATTCATTAAATCAACTAACTAGCTCTAGTTACTTTTCATTTTTATAGTTTAGTTTCTTAAAATGGCGCTGACAATTAAAACTAAGCGTCATATTGAGGTTAAATTTTTTACTTTTTAAATAAAGATCTGGTAAGATATCTTGGAATTTATTCAATTTACGTATAAAATCTTTTTATTTATAAATCATCCGCTTTATTTCCGTTTTAGCACTAACCTATAGAAAATAAAAATAATGGCTTTACCGAGCAATTATAAGCAAGTTTCTATGAGTGTTCCAGCCCCTCAATCGGCAAACCGTAAGAAAATAACCTAAAAATTACCTTTTTATTTTCAAGAAATCCTCCTATTTTTTTCATTTTTGTAGTACTTTTACTAAAATAATATTCAAATTAATAATACATTTATACAGGTTTAGTTGCCCCCCTTTTGTTCGCTTGATGATCGCATGCGGTAAATATTGTATATTTGCAAATAAAAATGAATTCAAGTATACCGCAAAATCTACTTATAACTTAGCATGCAAATTATTTCAGTAATAATTAGACGTTTTATTTTTATTGTAAATTTTATGAAAGGAACCATAAAATTTATAATAAAACCATCTTTTTTTATGGTAGACTAGTGCTCATGATCTGCTTTGTTTGTGTTTGTTGTTCAGATTTGCTGTCCGCAGGTTCCCCCATGACTTTCAACATACTGAAAGGTAAACGCAATCACCTTTACATTTTATATTAACAATTTATCTACAAATAAAATACACTGCTTTTACAATATAAACTTACATTTTACTATTAGTTTTATTGTTTTTATGCGAACGATTACTTTTTTAAAAAAAAGTTTATTACGCTTTAGCTTAATATCAATAGAAATAATAATAATAAATCTTTTACGTATTTTTTTTCAAGACTGTTAGAGATAATTTAATGGTTTAATTAAATTGAATGAGCTTTTTTAACCTTTCTTTAGTCTAATATTATTAGTGTATTGAATTCAAATTACTTAATTAAAACTATTTTGAATTGGTTCAATCAAATCTGATTACACATTCAAATTATTATTGTGATTTTAGCTTGCCTTAGTTATTTCCTCTTTATAATTTTTAATATCAACATATTAATTGGTATTTTAGACTGTTCTAGAGTCCAATTATAAATTATTTAGAGATTATTTTGAAATAAGAAGAAAATTTTAAATTGGAACTGAAAGGCGATATTTTAGTTTTCTTTGGTTTTTAATGTGCCCTTTATAATTTGATTAAACACTTTTTCAGTACCAACACTCTTCAGATTTTTAGTGAACCATCAAACCATGAGATATAATCAAATACACCTATAAAATAATCACTTTAACAGTGTCCAAATGTAGAGTGGCTACAGTATAATCGCCGCACAATAATTGGACGTCTTTGTGAGCGGTATTCTTTGATATTTCCAAACTTACGCGCGGTAGAATTGTATAGGTCTACTGTTAGTTCTAGTTTTAGTTCATGAAAACTATACGACAATCCAATACTAGATCTAGAAACATTCGAGTTTACCCATCTTAAGAGACGCATGGGTAAACCCAAATGTTTCTAAGTCTACTGTTCTAGTTTTAATTCAATAAAAATATACAACCAAGCGCTTAATAGCAACTAGAACTAGTATTAGAAGTAACACTAGAACTAGAAACATTCGGGTTTAGTCTCTCAAGACAGCTAAAGTAGAATGTTTTTAGTTTTAGGTCTAGTATTAGTTTTAGTTCACCAAAAATATACAACAATCTAGCGCTGAATAAGAACTAAAATTAGAACTGTAGCGAGCATTTTCATTAAATTCGATAGTTTGTCATCAAATTACCCTATTTTATGTATCTAAGATAATTGTTAGTATGTTTACAAGAAAGCAATAATGATTTTTATCCACAATCACCTTATAATTGACGTTTTATCCACACTTATGAACCGTATAAAGTACCACTTTATCCACTAGTGGAATAAAGTTACTTTTTGTAATTCGCGACGGTAATGAAAGCTCTAACAGTACTCAAACGGGTGCTGTAATGAGATTCCTTACAGCATCCGATGCTGTAATGAGATTTTAGTAACATTTTTTTAGTTGTCAGTGTGACAATTTTTGTCTATGGATGTTAAACACGTTCTTAGCATCGAATACAAGGTCCACAATGATGAGGACATTGAACACTGATCAATTTCTCTTATTTTGGGAAGTGTATATGGAACATTTTTTCCATTTTGCACCAACTTTCACACTTTTACAAATATGTTACAAATAGAGTCGATAAACAATCGAAAATAAATATCAACAATTCAACACCTCCCAACGTTTTTTTAGTTATATGCAATGATTTTTGAGGTAACAACCGCTGTCAGAGTGAAATGTGAAATCATTTTTTGATAACATCAGATGAAATTTTGGCGATTCTGATTCTAAATGAGTATGATTGTGGATAAAACGTTGTATTGTATGCGTGTTTTAGATACATTTTATTCACTTAAGAAAATTAAACATTCTTGCGTGAATAAAATGCTGTCTGAAACACTTAGACAATAAATAATTATTATTTTTGAAAAAAATGTGGCTTATACATTATTACATTAAACAAAGTTGAACTCCTGCGATTTGTAGAACGTAATATTATAATGACAAACCTTTTCAATATTTTTGAAATACTTATGTTATAAACAAAGAAATGTATTAACAAAATAGTACATTAAAAAACAAGATTTGTAAGACACGCTTGAAATGCACGAATTCAAGTTGAAAATTAATGATTGAGTGCTTTAAGTCTTACGAAACGTGTTTTTTATGCTATTTTTTGTAATTCGCGTTTTTATCCTCTTTTTTAACAAAAATAAAATAAAGCGTAAGGGTTTATTTGATCCATGATCGACCAGTTTTTGATAATTGAAATAATTTATCAATCTGTACTTTTTACTGGTTTTAAATTTATTAATTACTTACATGTTTCGATAATTATTTATCATCTTCAGAGACGCTACAAAGAATTGAATTATAAATTATACCGGTTTTAAACATGTGTGTTAATTAACGAAAATGACCAATTCTATTTGAAAAATAACCAAAGATACTTACTGCGTCAAAATTATTAAGAAGAAACATTTTAAAATTAAGATTTAACGTGAAACAATTAAAATCGGGTGTAAAATTAAATTCTTTTTCTGTAAATTATTTGTGGTATTAACATCTGTACTGTCGTTGTTAAAATAAAACGTAACGTGACGTTACAGTTTCATTTTTTCAAATATACTTACTATTATATTTTATTTTATTATTTTTCAAATAGAATTGGTCATTTTCGTTAATTAACACACATATTTAAAACCGGTATAATTTATAATTTAATTCTTTGTAGCGTCTCTGTACAGTCCAATGCTCTTAACGAACATTAATACCTTGCTCGGCGAAAGGTCATTCAGATCTTTTGAGGAGATAAACTGCGACCCAAAAATCGAGAATCTGATACGGTTAACGGCAGGGCAGTGGCATAAAACATGCTCAACCGTCTCTGCTTCCTCCGCACATAGTCGGCATTCAACATCGTCGGCTAAACCCAACAAGTTGAGGTGTGCTTTTAATCGGCAGTGCCCAGTAAAAACACCCATTAGAACTTTTATGCTACTACGGGCAAGTCCTAAAATATTCCCGGGTTTGACAGTGGCGATGTTAATAAACACCTTAGCATGTCTCATTCCAGGAGAACTGGTCCACAGTAGGCGAAGTCTCTCTTCAGCCCACAGTCCAATCCTATATTTGGCCATCGCAAATGATACACCAACTGCTGGTTCCGGTCCCACAAACGCTTCAGCGCTGCCATCTCGTGCTAGCTTATCTGCCGCTTCATTGCCAGCAACCCCAGAGTGACCCGGGACCCAGATCAGAGAGACTCTGTTATCACAACTCAGTGTGTTTAATGTTCTCTTACAATCATTAACCAGAGCCGACACCGTTTTCACGGCTTGCAGCGCCTGGAGAGCGGCTTGACTGTCTGAGAAAATTCGTACTGTCATGTTCTTCACCCCTCTTTCAAGAAGGATTTTAGCACCCATGTCAATAGCAAATACTTCCGCCTGGAATACAGTACAGTACGTACCCAGGCTGTAGGCTTGCTTAATTCGAGGTGTCTGGCAGTATACTCCTGCTCCTACCCCTTCAGGCGTTTTTGATCCATCTGTGTACAAGCAAATGTCTGCCCGAACCAGAGAATTTTCATTTTCGATCCAGGACTGCCGCTCAGGCAGTACAATCTGGTATCGAGCATTAATCACTGATAGTGATACCGCCAAATCTGACGGCATTGATAGCACAGTATCAGTGCTTATAATGTCTTCCGCAGCCCATTGGTAGGACATGTCGGAACAGTTTTGAGCATATTGCTTAAATCTGTAAATGGTTGTTCTAGCCACTTTCTCTATATGCAAATGCAGAGGAGATAGGCCAAGCAGAACCTCCATTGCTAGAGTTGGCGTTGTGCCTATCGCACCAGAGATTGCCAATCCAGCTACTCGTTGAATTCGTGAAAGTTTACTGATAACTGAAGTCTGTTGGACTTTCCTATACCAGGCTGCTGCTCCGTATGTGATCATAGGTCTAACCGCAGTCACATCGAAACATGTAAGACAAAGTAATTAATAAATTTAAAACCAGTAAAAAGTACAGATTGATTAATTATTTCAATTTTCAAAAATAAAATAAATTTTAACAATGTAGGAAAATAGGTATGTAGCAGTTGGTAATACCGTAATACTTGAAAATAGAAATTTAAATTGACAATTAGAAATTGTCAAAACACAAAATGTATTCACCTGAAAAAAAAGTTTCATGTACACCTCTTTTTCATAAGAAAGTCACCTTTCTCATAAGAGAAATTGCTCAGACTTCAATGTCCTCGTCATTGTGAACCTTGTATTTGATGCTAAGAACGTGTTTAAACATCCACAGACAAAAATTGTCACATTGACAACTAGAAAAATTAATGACCCAATGTCACTAACTTAAACTGGTTCCATAAAATGTTACTAAAATCTCATTACAGCATCGGATGCTGTAAGGAGTCTCATTACAGCACCCGTTTGAGTACTGTTATAGCTTCCNGTAGGACATGTCGGAACAGTTTTGAGCATATTGCTTAAATCTGTAAATGGTTGTTCTAGCCACTTTCTCTATATGCAAATGCAGAGGAGATAGGCCAAGCAGAACCTCCATTGCTAGAGTTGGCGTTGTGCCTATCGCACCAGAGATTGCCAATCCAGCTACTCGTTGAATTCGTGAAAGTTTACTGATAACTGAAGTCTGTTGGACTTTCCTATACCAGGCTGCTGCTCCGTATGTGATCATAGGTCTAACCGCAGTCACATCGAAACATGTAAGACTAAGTAATTAATAAATTTAAAACCAGTAAAAAGTACAGATTGATTAATTATTTCAATTTTCAAAAATAAAATAAATTTTAACAATGTAGGGAAATAGGTATGTAGCAGTTGGTAACACCGTAACACTTGAAAATAGAAATTTAAATTGACAATTAGAAATTGTCAAAACACAAAATGTATTCACCTGAAAAAAATGTTTCATGTACACCTCTTTCTCATAACAAAGCCACCTTTCTCATAAGAGAAATTGCTCAGACTTCAATGTCCTCGTCATTGTGGACCTTGTATTTGATGCTAAGAACGTGTTTAAA